GGTAGTACTATGTTGTTGTTGTTATTATAATTAGTTTATTATAGTAGGGACGTACGGTAGTATATATATATATATATATATATATATATATATGTATATGTATATATATGAATGTGTGCTTTCTATATAGCTTGAATTGCTGGTAATTATGCTTGTGTATATACAATATAAATCATATGTGATCGGGCAATAGCTTGTATTGTGCGCTACCACATAGCGGACATGGGCAATCGGTTAACTAGCCTGTAGGATTCTAGGAGTCTAGTGTCTACTCGACATGTACGGGTATATATGCTTACTCCCTTGAAGTGCACACATTTTACATATGTGTTTCATTTCAAGTACTGACATTTTTCATCTGTACGCCTCCTTTCTACGCGCACCGACAGTTGTTGAATGCTTGCGCAGTATTATATATGCGTCCAGACCCGCGTCACCGCAGCGTAATTGAGTACTACACCAATCGAGAAATAACAGGTCTTCACATAAGTGTTCCGTGAATGTATTTTGCTACTGAACAACTCTGTATTGTGTTGATATAGGTCTATGATGCCACCACTCTGGTATCGAGCAAGACAATCACATCCTTCTCGGACCTACGAATGGGCGAGGGTGTTGAGCGAGAACTCAATGGGCCGGTGTGTGATCACCCGTCAGCTGAGCGTTACGTACAGTATCTCGATACGTACGCGCGGTTAAACGGTGTGACGGATACGATACAGTTCGGGACTAAAGTTTTAAATATTGTGAAAAAGAAGCGCCGGTCATATCCCGAGGGATGTAGGCAGCGTTATGCAGAGCAACAGTGCGGGTCCGATATAGGGAGTGGGAATACATGTCATAACCCTATGTTTTCTGCTATGCCACGGTTGTTGTTAGATTATGTGTACACTGTACACTACACCCAAGATATCCCGGTATCGCCTAACGACACAAATACCGGTATGGCAACCGGTACGTCAACCGGTACGGCAACCGGTACGGCAACCGGTACGGCAACCGGTGCCACCGATACAGTCACCTCAGAGCGGCCCTCTCTCGCCCGTGAATTCGACTGTGTTGTGGTCTGCAGTGGTGTTCACAGTAACCCGAACATACCCACTGAAGCGGAGATACCGGGGCTTAAGGACTTCAGGGAGGATGCCAATACACAGGAGATACACTCGAGCGATTACAACGGCGATGCAACACAGAAGGAGAGCCTGTTTGGCGCGGGGAAGAATGTGCTGGTGGTGGGATGTGGTGAGACCGCTATGGATATCGCATACAGGTAAAATTGGGCGAGGCGCTACGGAACTGTTGCTTTCCCCAGTGGATGTTTTGATTATGGATTCTGTTGGTTCGATCCTGGATCGTTTATATATCTCTGAAGCGAATGAACTCGTGTCGAGATGTACTTTTATGGCAGTCGCCGTGGTTAATGCCTGCGCGATAGTCTCGGGTCTTTAGATCGCACATAGGTGCAAACACATACACACATCCCGGATTTGGAAGCTCCAATATCAGTACTACCACCAGATGCTGACGATTGGCTGTACTTCGAAACTGTGACTCTCACCATATGTTTCCCTGCGCTATGTCTCCCAACTTCTATTTCGGACGGCGTCTATCATCTATTGACTATTGACGTTCCGAATTCTCGAAGTTCCATTTTAGTTGAAGTCTTTGAAATACTATACCATAAGTATATTTATCAACCCGCAATGTGTGGCTGTCTTGCCTGTTCTCGATGTCTCACTAGCATCGGTTTTGTTAACTCAATCCAACCAGGGCCGTTCAAATGACGAATGTTGCGAATGTGGGTTTGCTAGCACGCAGAGGTTTTCTGTCCATTCCATACCAAATGGGAAGTGATAGTGTACATACAGACGCGCAATTAAATAGCTCGCCGGGTAGTAACACAGCCGTTAATAACGGTAGAAAGCTACCCTCGGCATCAAAGGTCAAGATAGGAATGAATTATGGGCTTGGAAAAGATACCCAACTCAATAGAAAGGATGAGACGAGCCACACCCCGATAAACCATAGTACCGCTATTAGGAATAGGGCAGATATCAATGCCAAAACAACCGCAACTGCACATGCTAGCGCGGAATCCAGTAGGCCTCTGGATGTTTTCATCACCAATATGTTCGAGCACTCGTACGAACACCCGCTGGTGCACCGACTTCAGCTGAGATGGGTGCTGTCGACGTATGTGATTCGCTTTGGTATGGGACTGATCGGTAGTAGTTGGGGTTGCAATCAGTGGGCTGGAGCGGTTGAAGACGTTAAACGAGGACACCACATCATCAACAAGTCATCCGCGGCCATGCCACATATCAATGCGGGGGTTAAAGCGGTACGATACGGGATGTGGGGTAGACTATGGGAGTACCTATGGGGAGAGAAGGACCTGAAACCCATCAGTGTATACGGAGGCAAGGGGGTGGGTATTGAACGTATAGTTTGTGCAGAAGATTCGAGTTCGAGCGTGAGCGGAAAAGCTTGTTCGACTCAGAACAAGTTGAAGAAATATAATGTGGAGTTTGCAGATGGCCGTGTTTATGAGGGAGTGGATACGATTGTGTTTGCCACTGGCTACAGACAGTATTTCCCCTTTCTGCAGGACCGGTCCATCACCCGTGGTTCGTCAGCATGTGCCGACGACGTGACTTTGACAGAGGACCTGGAGTCGATAGAAACGGGTGGGGACCCAGTATCGCAATCGCCTCGCACAAAGAATTATGAGGACAAACATTGCAACGACAGTTCAAAGGAACAAATCACTTGCTCAGATAAATACAAGGAGACATCGGGATGTGCTTTCACGTACAGGCATGCAGCAGGGGAAGCCACCTTGCCGCTGATGTCCAGCAAGACGGGATTTTCAACTCACTATATCGTAAACGAAGATACCGACTCAGGCATTGCGTATATCGGGTTTGTCCGGCCGAATGTGGGAGCTATACCGCCTATGAGTGAGCTACAGATACAGTGGTACCTACAGTTTATAGAGGGGGGGCTGGACAGGTGCCCGAGAGAGCGGTACACCAGGGACGATGGCCTGCCGAGCTATCTGTTGGTGGGGAGGAAGTATCAGTACGGTGTGGACTACGGCAACTACATGCATCGGTATGGGTGGTGGTTGATATATATATAGGACTGGTGATACTGTTTCATTGTAGTTGCATGCTTCGTCTTGTGCCGGTAAGGACTACGGTAACTACATGCATCGGTATTGGTGATGATTGATATATATAGGACTAATGGGGCTGTTCCATTGTGCTTCGTCTTGTGTGTAGCAACACGTGTCTCTTTTCTATTAGAATATTAGAGGAAGAATGTACTCATGGCTACAATCATGAGCGCATCAACAACAGTTTGAAATTAGTTTGTTAGTAAGCCGGTTTATCAGGCCGCTGACTGAGGTTTACGATTTCGATGCCCACGCCAGGAATGCACCCAATGTAAGAATTCAAAATCGCTTTTTTGTGAGGGGAATTTTTCAGCTCACTTGATTCATGTACTGGCAATATATATGTATAGGTATATATATATATATATTTGTATATTTGTATATATATTTATCTTTATCTTTATCTTGATATATATATTTATATTTGTCTAAATATGCATTCTTACATAAATATATTAATACAGATACAGTATATATATTCATTCAAATTCTAGAAGTTCTACTTCTGGCACTACCAAACCTCAAATTTTACTTTTACCCACATGCGTCGATTTGACATATAACAAAATCTGATGATTGAAAACCGCACTTGGGCAGAAATCCGCTGGAATTGCTATATCTCCTCATTAATCACTTTGTTTTCTTCTTCTTAATTTGCAGAGTCGCAGAGGACATGGGCTCAGCACCAACCTTGACGCACATCACACGCTCTATTTTCAAGCGTCCGACATCGCTCTTAACGCGCGTGCGGTCCTGGTTACGCATAATGTTTACGTACTGCTTAGGCCAGGCTATGGTGCCTCTATTCAGACTCCAAGGACCGTATGAATCAACAACCAGTGGGTGGGACGTGGTGGAAGGCGAATTGTACAGTGTGTGTGTGCGGAGAGGCTTGATGGAGAATATCGGCCTATTGGTGATATCGGTGTCTTTCCTGGCATTGAACGTAGGCTTTCTCGGCGTGGAAGTAGTCTTGGTGATACTGGGCTATCAAAAACAATTTGAAGGATTTGCGCGATATATGTGAGCATCCATCATCCCCTATTTGTACTGGGAACTCTCTAGATAAGCCGTCAACTAGGTATGACTTATTAGTTTAATGCATTACCAAATCACAAAGAAGTAACAAATAGCAAGTAGATAAAACATTTATATAGAATACCAAAACTCACCCTCTCTCACCCTCTCCTATTCTTTCAGGAGTACAATTTACATGTGAACAATGATGCACTGTAAGTCATGCCGACCTAATCCGATCACTTTGTAAGCATTTAATGTTCAGTTTGCCGTATAATTGGGAAGCGATGCCTAAGGTTGTAAATCGAGATTTCTGCTCGATGGTATGTGTAATATATGCACTCGAAATTTGTTTTTGTCGTTCCTTGGTTATTATGCCGAGTTTATTGTCTTGATTAATGAACAATTTCTGCATGGGATGACGTTGTTCAGCTGATTCAATCAGAAGCAGCAGCTTCATGACATATGGTACAATCAGAACACTTGAGTCTGTATCACCGAGCACTAAATGCTTTTTTGGGGGGGGCACCTTTGATTGCTATGTATCTGGTTCATTGTAAGCTCACGATAGCTCTGTAAACGGAACATGCCATTCGATATATTATTATTATTATCATTATTATTATTGTTACTATTATTATTATTATATATTATATATATATATGTGTGTGTGTGTGTATGTGTGTGTATATGTATATATATATGTATATGTATGTGTATATATATATATTTATACGTAGATATATATATGCATGTATATACATTACAGTAACCTGTACCGTTTGAACATCGAGGGGCACTTCCTCGCCCGCGAGCGAAACAGCCATCGTGTACACACCCGCCTTTTCAGGTGTGGCTACGTAGAACTCGAACGCCATCTTCTCGCCTGTCAATTTTAAACCAAATTAAACGATACTAAGTTATTATAGTGGTGGAAGTGAAAATGAAGTTTCCAATTCAGATCAATACTCATCGATTTTTGTAGAATGCGACTATAGGAGTGGCAGCATTTGCACCATACCACTCGATCCAAGTAGCCTATCAACCGCTGAGGTGGATACTTAGGTAAATGCATGCATGTGCTGTCACTGTTTCCTGGTCATGGTTGTGGTATACCTTTGTCTCCAGAATCATGAGGGTTGTAAGAGTAATAAAACGAATGTAGTAGCGTGCCATGAGAGCGTGATGGCGATTAAATCTCTCGCCAGATGTACACTGTCCTCTTGCGAACTAGATATGTTCACTCGAGATCGTATCTCATTTGTTCCCTATTGCGAGCTGCGGCTAAATATGTGTATGTCAAAATTACTTTATCATATACATACATTTTGTATATACGTGTATATGCGAGAATTCAGGATCTACATGAGTACGTACGAGGATGTAGACCATGCACACATATATGTGGCACATACCTGGTTGCAACACCTCACACTTGGTGCCTTTCTCGCCGTTCCTGCTTATAGTCGCCGCCGCATCGATCGATTTCTTCAGTAGCATTTCGTGTGTGTGTAGACTCAGACACACTTCGTGTGCAGCGAGTGACACATGGCTCTCGTAATTGATCATCACCAAGAATTCGGACGCCAAAATACTAGAGAGGAGAAAGCCCGAGTGTTCGTTGATATCATGCAAGTATGTGCATGTATGGGGATTTGAAACCCCACTCACGCACAGACACCCGAGCTCGGATGATGTTTCGAATCCGTTTGACACCTCCCAATAGTAGTATGGTGCAAACCGACCAACAAGACGACATATAAGTAACACCTATAGTACTGCTGTTTTCATGCTATCTTGACTGCACTCCTTGTGTGTACAAGTATACCGGTATGCATGCAACTTCAACACGTATACACTTATTGCATCTGCCTTACTATCAAATAATTTCATACCCGTTCCCACTGGCGGCAATCAGAGGCGGCACACGCACGTGCACTTTTGGAGCCGCAATTCTGAGTCGTTTCGTCTCGATTGGCATGTGGTACACCGGCACTTGAAGTAGCGGTCACGACAGCTCTGATTTCGATGGCATCAGTGACAGAACTGCGTTTACGCACGTAGTCAGAGGGCTTTGCTACTGTGTCCATCATAAAGGTCTTCTCCGTGAGTCCTGCATGTATGTATATATATATATATATATTTATATTTATATATGTATGTATAGAAGATTTGCCGAATCGTCAAGAGATTTCTGTAGTGTATCGGATCGCGTAAAAAGCCCTTGATGAGAAAACTACATTATGCTGCAATAGATACATGATTACAATTATTGATAGAAAGATACATATGCGTCTAGAACATACGGGAATAATATGCGATTTGATAATGTTTCAAGCGTTACATCCATTAAACGTACCTTTGTATATACACTTGTGATCTCGTCTATCACGCGACCCATGCTGTTGGTCAAATCCATAACCAGAGCAGCATCCGCCGTGACTTCCTTGTCTAACGGCTCATTCATTCGTTTGATAGTCATGCGTACCTGGACATGCACCACACTGCCAAGTACAATAGTATTTGCTTTCCCCGCATCCACAAGCGTGTAGGCCACTCCGAGTTCGATTGACTCGTCAATGCTGTCCTGAATATAAATGAACGTGTGATATCAGAATAACAGAGTAAAAAGCGCACGTCTGTGTATAGAATCGTATCCATGCGCACAGACACGAGTTCCTGTTTATATCGGAAGTATCGCGAAGGAGTCCAATGATTATATCGGGAACATCTGGAGCCTGTAAAACGCATATACCGTCTTCCAACCACCATGCACGATATGCGCAACACACCTGCAACATATCACTTGAAGGCAAGTCAGAACGCCATGGGTCGTGCGGTGTCTCCGTGTACGCGCTCTACTCTCTGTCAAGATAAAAGAGTGTGATGTCTTGCGACCCTTCCTTTTTCTCTGGTGCGTTTGTCAGTATTAGCCTCACACCTCTGGGATCAAACTTTAGAACCTTCTCCATATCACACATGTCCGGTGATGAACAATTCACTAGGATGTTGCGTTCAGCAGATTTCACAGTAGAGATCATGGTGTCTGTGGTGCTGCTAAATTTGTCGTCGAGTGCTTTTCTCACTGCTATAGGTCCCGGTCCAGTGGGAGTGCCTAGCAATTGAAAATGGTAGACATTAGACAAGTGCCCCTCTCAGAGATAACAACTACATATAAGTGTACGTTCATATTATTTATATATATATATATA